ATTACTCTGTAGGAAGTGGAACTAGTGACCATTTTTATGTAAACAAAATGATCCTACTGTCAGTTGTCGCAGTGATGCTATTTTAGGCCAAATGTCATCATAGTCACTGTTTACCTTGGACAAATTTGATCACACGACCGCTTATTCCCTGCATTACATCGAGAAATTTTCGAAACAACAGCCTTTTGACAGGGACTAAGTGGTTTTTTTACTTTGGCTGCTATGATGCGAGGCCACCGATATTCCCCATCGCCGAATAGACCTCAATGGCAGTGCGGGTAGGGATTCATCTTAAGGCCACCCAATGACAAAAGTCCCCAGCCCAAAAATCTACCCATGTTTAACTTGAAAGGTATATTTGGCACACATTTGTTTTCGGCAATTCATCATCAGGTCCCGCGGCGAACTTACGAGCATGCTTCACGAAATCTCCCTCCTACGATTAGAAGGTAAAGCCTCACTCCCGTTGAGGACCACATCGAGGTGCATTTACTCTTCCATTGGCCGAACAAAGCAGCGCCTGGAAAAGAGGGCACATGAACACATACCGACCTGGCTAAGTAAAGGTGAAACTAGATAGATCTCAATTTCTATTCTCGCACACCTTGTCAATTACAATCACCGGGTCGATCCTAAGGAGACCTTTCAGGTTGTCTACCGGACACCAGTCAACTTCTCTAAGGGCCCACATCAACGGCTGCTAGTAACAACCGAGGAAACAACTATGCGGCTAGCGAATCCAGTGCTGTGTTGTCAGAAGTCGCTAATATAGGCACTGCCACCTCTGTGGCCGACGCCAGATGGCGATCGTATATCGCCCCAATCCCCTGGTGACAGTAGTTTTCAATCCACATACTAGACGTATGACCAATACTCACAGTCTATCCTAATTGCTCCCCTCTCCTCCAGCGCAATAATCTTTACATGTCGATCTCGCCATGTGAGCGGCGTGAAAATGATGAGATGTAAACATAGGACAGCTGTATGAGCCCTGTCTAACTGTACTCTTTTAATTATCCATGGAACTGTGCCAACCCGATGATGAATTGCCGAAAACATATATTTCGAATATTTAGAATAATTTTCGCAAAGAGTTGAAGTCCAGATATCTTATCGTTTTCATCATTCCCCAAAGAAGACGAAGAAGAAGGTTCAAGGGCATGGACCTTGAACCTTCTTCTTCGTCTTCTTTGGAGGATGATGAAAACTATTAGAATTACTGATTTAGTTCCTGTCAGTCAACACACAGTCTGCCTTGTGCCCTGCCCTTGAGCCTCTCTCCGCATCAGTAAGCCGTTCTACGGGCTTTCCATCTTACCTCAATCTCACCTACTCAATTACACTACTGACATTTGTTTTATTCCTCCCCTTACTGTGAGGAAACCAATTCCTGTTACCAATTATTCTTCAAACTTTGGCTGGACGGACTTTCAGTGAACTATGAAGCTATCACCTGGGGGACTTGAGACAACCACTGGAGTGTAGCAGAATTAATAAGCCTTTCACACCGGTAGGTATTAGTCAAACCAGCCCGAATATTGAAAAGGAATGATGTCCCTGGATTTTAAAAATGTAATTCATGAATAAAAATATTCTCGCATTTAGGAAGTTTTTTTCCTTTTTAAGAATGGCAACTCACCATGCATGCTGTTCCGCAGGAGGCTACTGGATGGTTGGATAGCTGAAGAAGAGTATAGTTCAGTGTCGGACATCCAGTCGTCAAAGGCTATGCTCGACTGCAATTGCTTCTCCATCTCACCCGTCCGCGTGTTAGCTTGGCGGCCGCAGTAGGTAGAGCGATTAGAGGACACATGACTCGTCAATCTCTGCCCCTTCTCCCCGCCCTCCCCCTGCGCCACAGATACTCCAACACCAGCAGTGAGGATTTGGACTCATCCTATTACTCCCCGCCTGACCGCGCT